CATGGTTCGCATCCCTAGACCAAATTAACAGCCACAACAACGAAATTAGTATATACCATGATACAAAAAAGAAGGTAGTTTCATTTAAGCTGAAATTAGTCAAGAACGTAACCCGAGTCAGCTGACACGATCTGCCTTACCAAAGCGCCATGTAAATGAAAACTCAACACCGCAGAATTTTTCTGTAGTTGTAGCCCGTAGCGCAGAAATTTAATGACATTCGTTGTTGTTGTTAACCATTTGACTTTTAATAAAATTATGACATTTCATAAAATTCATGCTACCTGATCACTAGAAGAAATATTTTTTTTTTTAAGCAGAAGGTTTTATCAGTACATTCAAAGATGTGGAATATGATGAACTAGAAAATTATGCCGGCTACATGATTTCGAAAATGGGGTTGACGACTAGGTTTCAGAAAGCATGAAGAAACTGTGTATTTACATATCGTCGCTTAAAATACAAAACCGCCTATCGTCGTTCTGCAAAACCGCGTAACTGACATTTTTTGCCAAAAATTGGATTTGCTCACACAAGATCTTGGCTCAAGCCTTATCCATTCGTCCTGAAATGCGATTTCTTTGTATAAAATCTATTTCGAAATATGAGTGTTTTTACTCTCTACAAAATAATTTATGCAACCTCACATACGCAGTTGTGCATTTTGTTGGTACACGGTTTTGTAATTTAAACGACGATCTGTTAGTTGTTTATCGGAGGGCGGTCTGTTCAAGCCGACTTCAGGTGTTTTGCATAAATTAAAAATTTGTGAATTTTAATGATGATGCGCTAATCACAAAGCCTAATTTTTTGCAAAATCTGATGAGAAATGTAAAATTAAATTTGAACCAAAATATAAAAGGGTTTTATTTGGGAAGAACATTATTTAGAATTCGACTTTTAAATCGCAAGATTGCATTCAAAATAAGAAAACAAAAAAATAACAGAATAATGCGCGCGTGGTTTTTATTACAAAATGAAAAGAACAATTACGATGAAGTCTCCTTTAACAGTTTACATTTTAAATATTTTTAATAAAAATAGTGCGAGTTACGTAAGTAAAAAAAAGTACCAAGCACTAATCATGGTTTTCGATTTGAAATGTTATTACATTGGTATAAATATGGGAAAGAAAATACTCGGATTTATTTTTTTAATATTATCAAAGTGGCAAGGCCGTTGATAATACAATTTATGAAACTTCAAAAAATTTTATTATCCATCAAAAGTTGTTTATTGAAACTACCTTCATTTTAATATCATGGTATATGCTAGAAAAAGAATTATTTTTTAGCTTGGTATAAAAAATGCCTAGTTCACGGAAATGTCGTGTTCGCGGGTGTAAAAGTGAAGGTTCCGGCATGCGTTTTTTTTGCTTCCCACATGATCCAATAGAAAATAAAAAGTGGAGAGAGAATTTATTGTATACTTCAGACTTGGATTTCCTGCCACCATATAATTCACATGTGTGCATCCGGCATTTTGAGCCCACTGCTTTGGGTGAAAAATGTCTAAAAAGAGGAGCGATTCCAACACTTAACCTGGGTGAGTTACCTTAATTCAATACCAAACCATACCACACAATCTACAACATTTGTATGTTCAATTTCATTCTACAGGTTATGACTACCAACCACCACATAATTTTCATATAAAAAAAAAATGGAAAGAAGTTTGCTGCATTAAAAATTGTACAAGTGATGCCAAGCGCAAATTCTTTACATATCGCAAATATAACGAAAGTTGGAACAAGGTTTGCAATATAGATCCATCAAAATACCCAAGACCTCTTATTTGTGAGCTCCACTTCGATAAAGAATTTATTACCCCAAAACGGCTACGGTTAGGTGCTTTTCCTACGTTGAACCTACCTCGTCAATTATCAACTAATGCTCCTGCTGTACAAAACTCGGAAACCATCCAACGCCATGAAAACAAACGTACATGTTGCATCAGAAGCTGCAGATTGGATAAAAATGCGACATTAATTTCTTTTCCAGTTGCTAAAGAAAGTCGCACGAGGTGGATCAAAGCCTGCAATTTAAATGCGTCGGAATGCGATGAATTATATATTTGTGCACGTCATTTCCAAACAAGTTTTCTTACGACTGACGAAAAATTACTGAAGATTGGAGCCTTTCCAACATTGAATTTACATTCGCATCCTGATCGAGGCGTAGAGAGCATTACAACATTACAAAAGCAAAAGAGTGCTATCTCTCCGAATAAAACCCAACTACCTTTAGAATTTGAACAGCATTACTTTTTGGAATGCAAAAGGAAACGGTATGATTCATTTGACAGTGATATGGCTTCCAATGCTATTTCATTTGTTAGCGAAAAAGAGGAAATTGTTGCTCCCAATGCCGGGAAGAGTTCAACGGTATCATCATTGCATTGCAATGATGAGAAATCATCTGAAGATATGAACGATATTAATAGCGAAAGGGAAAACGCTGCAAGTGCTCAGGACGCGCATAATAAGACATTGATCTCTACTCAATGTGATCACGCTTCTCTTAGTTGTAGCAGTAAGTATTTAGACGTGCCTCATGGACAAACAAATAATGAAAAATTACTAAGATGTGATCAGAAACATTTTGAAAGGAAAATAAAAGACCTGGAAACTCGAGTCGAATTTCTATCAAAAAAAACACTTGATTGTAATCATGAACATTTTGAAAAGAGAATTGCTGAATTAGAAGGTCAATCTAAACAAGAACACAAGTGTAATCAGGAACATCTGGATAAAAGATTTGCCAAATTAGAGGCTCAAGTCGAATATGAGTCTAAAAGAATACATAAATGTGAAGCCAAACAATTTGTAGAAAGAGTGGCCGAATTGGAGGGCGAAATCGAATTCTTAAAGACAAAATATCGTATCTTAGAAGAGCGAGCAGTAATTCCTTTTGATGGTGCGAGCCAAGATGCAGTTACTTTTGCAAAGATGATCGTTGATGGTCCTAATCGACGATATACCGAAAAGGAGAAATGTTTAGCCCAGAATTTAACTTATATTTCGCCCAAAGCTTATGATTTTATGCGTGAGGAACTTAAATGCGTCCTGCCGCACAAATCAATCCTTCTGCGATGGCGGCCAACCACTAGTTGCGGAATATCTGGCATTGATGACCATACAACTCGAACTTTAAAAAACATTGTAAGTGAGATGTCCGAAACAGACCGCATATGCCACATCATGTTCCATGAAGTTGTCATCAAGAAAGATGAGGAACCGGGCAGAACAGCAACCAATACATTGAAAAGCCGCCAAAAATGTTGTTTCTTTATAGTTAAGGGCATATTTAGCGATTGGAAATATATACTATCGTATTTCATAGGACAAACTGGCTTCAATGCTTACAATTTGTTACGTTATCTCAATCAAAGCATAGATTTTGCACAATGTGTTGGTCTAAAAGTTAAAGCTATCGTTTGTGATCAATCACTTTGCAACGCCCACATATACAAACAGTTATATGCCACGGAGAAGAAGCCCTACATTTTACGCAAGAAAGAAAAAATCCATTGCTTCTTTGACTACTTTCATTTAACAAAGTGTATTCGCAATAGCTTTTTAAGTTACGATATACAAACTATTGACGGTCTAGCTAGTTTCAAAATAATCAAGAAATTATATACCATCGACAAGGCCTATCCTAGTTTGGGACTATTCCCTAAGCTCACCCCATCACATTTGTACCCAGACACTGTCGAAAGAATGGATGTTTACCTAGCGGTTCAATTACTCAGTAATTCTGTTGCAGTAGGAATTGAAAAGGCAATAAATCAGAAACTAATGGGTTCTGATCCAAAACTTTTAAATTGCGCCAGAGCAACTAAAAATTTTGTCCAGCGCATGAATGATCTCTTCGACGAGTTCGACCATAGAGACCAATGTGTTTTATCAGCTACCAGCAGTTACAGAAAAAAAATTAATGCTTTAAAAGATCATTTAAAATTTTTATATTCATTGGAACAGCCCAATATGATAAATATACGCTTTATATCTGGCTTAATTTCAACAACAAAAGCAACTATAAATTTTTACGAAGATGTTTTTGAAAAATATAAAAGTTTGGACATTAACCTTCTTTCCAAGTTTAATCAAGTTGCGCTAAATAGCTTGTTTTATGAATTATGTGAAGGCAGAGAAAACACACAAAATGACATTCAGACATTTGTGGCAAGCTCTCGGAGAGAATTTGAACAAAAATTTAAAAATCCATCGGGTGAAAATTTAAAACATGATGCAGAAAAGCTTTGTGAAGACCCCGAACTATCAGACGACCAATTCAATGAAATCATAGAAATGGTAAAAGATTGTTCGGATGAAAATTTGAATAAGATAAATGGTAGCATAGAGCATCCAAGCAAATGATCACTTGGTGTAAAAACAAAAAACCATGTTATTAAAAATAATTATGTACATACAGTTGTCCACAAAATAATAGGAGTGCGATATTTTGACCAGTTTTGGCTATTTGTCTTTTGTTTATTTAATGTTTATTATCTTTTTATAAAAGCCTAGCTGGCTATACAACAAACACCATATAAATTCAGATTTTAAACTTTGTATAAAAATTATAAAAATTTTGCAATTTTTCACCCAAATTTCAAACTTTTTAATCAGAATCTTTAGAAAAAATTCTGGTATGCAGTTTTGTAGCACATTCAATTCTAGTCTGAAGAAGTGCAAGTTTCAAGCGGCTAAAAAATTCCGTTGATTTTTGGCAATTTTTTTGCTGGCAGTGTCCTCCATATAAAAGAAAATTGTCGACATACTTTGTATGGAAAAAACGTGAAACACCTTTAACCAAAAAAATTCTCAAAAATCAACGGAATTTTTTAGCCGCTTGAAACTTGCACTTCTTCAGACTAGAATTGAATGTGCTACAAAACTGCATACCAGAATTTTTTCTAAAGATTCTGATTAAAAAGTTTGAAATTTGGGTGAAAAATTGCAAAATTTTTATAATTTTTATACAAAGTTTAAAATCTGAATTTATATGGTGTTTGTTGTATAGCCAGCTAGGCTTTTATAAAAAAATAATAAACATTAAATAAACAAAAGACAAATAGCCAAAACTGGTCAAAATATCGCACTCCTATTATTTTGTGGACAACTGTATGTATACAAGGTGCATTATATGTAGGTGTTTACAAACTTATATGCACATATTTAACTAATGTATAAGGGTTTTGTTCAGCAGTTTCCTTTTTTGTTCTTAAGTTAAACTACTCAGTTCAAAATGGCTCCTCGACGAGTATGGTCGTGCTGACCTGTCGAGTACTTTTAAAGCAAATATTGGATTAAAATATAAGCAAATAATGAAGTCTTTTCACATGTGACTTGTCGTGTTATACATAGTAATATGTAATAAATATAAAATTCTGAATCGTTCCAAATTAAAATAAAAGATATCTGATAATACTTAAACTTTAAATATAATGTTAATAAATTAATTTAAATAAAACATACATATGAAGTGCTTCAAGTGAAATATTAACCATAATGTTAAATTCGTTAAACAAAGAAGATGCAAAGCTAAATAAAGTACCGTTTGCACGGTATGGACATAACTGTTGGAAAAATAACTAAAAACTGCTATAGAACTGATGAAGTACAGTTTGCATGAAAATGATTAAAGTATAAAATTAAATTTTAACAAACATCTGACGCATAATTATAAAATTATACATTTTGAGATATAACCTGGCGATACGTGGACTTATTTCCCTGCCATTAAATACATACAGATTAATACAATCTAATATATAATTAATAAAAAATTTAAGACGTTAGACCAGCAGAAACTTTGCACGTGGTTCTGGCCCTCAGCGGTATTACCATACGTGTATTAGTGGAGCAACGTTGGACACACCTGAAGATTTATCATACCCTTGGAATATAGCATACTAAGAGGAATAACCTGGCGGTGGTTTACAATTAAACCGGCCAACCTACCCAAATCCCAAAAAAAAAAAAAAAGTTAAACTACAATTGTTTTGGAAGTAAATAATTTTCATGTTAATATTACAAAAAATTAATGAACTTAAAAGAAAAATTTACATATTACATATTTTTATCGCCTTTGGCACAGGGTATATTTTATAAAAAAAAATTATATTTTGAACGCCGCCAAGAAGATTTAAAAAATAAATTGTAACTTAAGTGGACCTTTGGTTTCATTGAGAGGTCGGGCATTAGATGAGAAAATATTTTTGTACATATGTATGTATGTTAATAAGGTGATTGTTACATGTTCCGTATGTATAGAGAGATAGTGGATTAATCCTTATGACATAAAGATGAAGGCATGGGCGTACATATATCGCAAACAAATGGGGTAAGAATGTGGACGAAATAAAGAAAAAAAAGCATTTGCGAAGCAGCTACGTAGCAGACAGAAAGACGGTCGAGGCATCCAAGAAATCTGGTTCATCAGCTGAAATAGAATTTTTAGTCGAATTCATTTTACTTCAATGACCTAAAGTTTCTGAATTTAATCATTGTTTTATGAAAAAAGCAATATGGAAGCGGTGAGTATAAGGAGCAATAACTTGTAACTTTGCGCTTTAAGTACTTGTATGTACATACCTTTAGCAGGAAAACTTGCAATGGAAGCTGCAGAGTGCTACGATTGGAATGTCACACTGACACAACCTACCGAAATACCTTTACCCAATCACCATGAATTACAGTCAGCATCACTGACCACACCTACATCATCCTCCTCGTTCCCACGACAGTCGGGTCTACGTAACTGGAACGACCCAGATTTATATCCACCACCAATATATTACTTTTTACTCGGAATACCTTCAGCTGCTCTGATTTTTATTTTCTAAATATTATATATAAAAATCAAGTTAAATCGTTATGTTTTGAGTTTTATTTTTTGCTCGGAAAATAATGGTTACATTTTAAGTTTTATTTCTTGCTCGGAAAACAATCGTTACGTTTTAAGTTTTATTTTTTGCTCGGAAAATAATCATAACGATTAAAGTGATTTTTATAATAAAAGTTATAACCGTTATGGTCCCTGGGAAAAAGTGAACACAGTGGCACAGACAACAAATCTGACGGCTAATAATCCGAGATTTCTCTGTGTAAACTGGGTGTTTAACAGACGAGCTTTCATTAAGATTATATATTTATATGTACACGTACTCTTATTAGTCAAACATTTTATCGTTTTGAACACGCACAAGAGAAGAAGAAAACACATTTGCCGGCAGGGCCAAAGCGAAGGTGGTGTTGTAAAATCAGCTGATTTCTGCGCCTTTCATGTATTTTGTTTTTGCTGTTACTGATTTGACAGCACACCCATCAAAAGCAAAAACCAAGGCGAATTTATACAAGGTGGTGCAAGGCGAATTTAAACAAGGTGGTGTTAACAGAACAAAAACAAAAATTACAACAAATTATACGCTCCTTGGCAATCAGTACGAAGCCAAATTACAACAAACACATGATTTTGACAAAAGGTACAATTTCGCCGTGAAATCAGCGGATCCGATAACACCACCTTGTATAGATTCGCCTTGAGGTGGTGTTACTGGCGAATTTAGATTACAACAACAACCACATGTATTTTGTATTGAGGGTGTTATGTCAAATCTCGATTCGCCCCAAAGTTTGCATGTATTTTGTTTTTGCTTTTGATGGGTGTGCTGTCAAATCAGTAAAAGCCAAAATAAAATACATGTAAGGCGAAGAAATCAGCTGATTTTACAACACCACCTTGTATAAATTCGCCTTGCATTTAGCACTTTCGAACATAGGTTTTCGAAGAGCATTTATGGTATCGCTTTTAGCAAATGTACATATGTACATTTACGCGAGTTCGAAATCGTACGGTTTTGACAAACAGCCGTATTCTAGTCCCTTATTCAGATCCATATCTATTACGATCAGAAGATAATGTTCAAATACCCTACTGAAAAAGAAAAAATAAATTTTAAACCAAAAATTCAATATAAAAACTTGAATTGTTTTAACCACAACCGAAAATTTGTTTGTGTACATATTCATTTGTCGGTGCTTTCAATTAAAATTTCCTCACTTAATTAGGAAACAAAACAGAGTTGATCACAAATTGATCCAGACTTTTATCAGCATCACATCGATGTTGAATTTGCGTAACTTTTCTTTATCCAAATAATGTAAAATAATATCTCGATCAGCGATCAACAGTTCAAAGAACTAACCTCATGTATTGATTTATCTTTATTCCCTAATAAGCAATTTTTTGTATTATAATGTATGTGTATTTAATATTTTATTATTAACTTAATAAACAAAAGTTGCAGAGAACTGTAATAACTTAAATATATTATATATTTTAAAAGATAATAAAAAAGCTTTGTGAGGGAAACTAAACTTAAAAATATTTATTTCGTGTGTGGTAAATTTGTGGGGAATTTGAAAATTTGTGTGGGAATTTATGGGTTATTTGGATTTTGTTCTGGGTAATTAAACGATTCGAAAACGGCAACACTACGTTAACGACAAAAATGAAAATGAAACGCGGCGGCTGGCGGCGATTTCATTTTACTGGTGTTTGTAATTAGTGTGGAACGACTGATACGAAAAAGTTTGAATCTTGTAAGTTTTATAGAAAATTCCCTAAATTGTACTCAAATATTTGCTTTAAAATAGTTCTAAAATATAGTTAAGTAACCACTTTACGCATGGGATATGAAAGCGGATAAGAAAATGCCGGGTTGGTTTGGGAAAAAGTCTGCTAAAAGTGCATGGACCAGAAGCAGTGAAAATCTTTATCGGTGGTCAAGTTTTTTTTTTATTACTTCTCTACCTTTCTGTCTTGAAATCGAAACAAACGAAACGGGAAGGCGAAATCGGAAGAGACAAAGCGAATAAGTTAGTCGGCCAACTAGCAATGAGCCAAATTGCAGCAGAAATTTTTTCGGCGTTGTGCAGCCAGTTATTAAATAAGTTTTGAAGTACAAAATCTTATCTTCCCATACTTTGTATAGTTGAAATGTTAAATTCAATTAAGTAGCTGACAAAAAATCTATTAAAAGGTTAGTTTTGCATGCAACTGTGTCGCGTTGCATCGATTAAAAAATGTTTGAAAGAAAATTTTGCTGCGCTGCTGCGGCAAACGAACAGCAGTCGTCGTGCAGACTTCGTCGTTGTAGCCGTTACCGTCGCTGTTTTCATTTCTGCCTCGACAAGTATGGAGCTGTCTGGGCTTGGATGTTAAGTGCTTGAATATTGAAAGGGGGAAATATTTCTTTGAATTTAAGAATTAGATTTTGCAAAGCAATATGAAAACAGTAAAATTGTTTCGATAAAACAAAATATGCTTTTCTCCACTCTAATTTAATTTCTATGCACAGCGAATTTACATGTGGAAAACTGTCAAAAAGGATAGACGAGATGGGGGGAAAAAAACGAAATATTTCAATGCCGAAAGTCGAAACAGCGGGAATGATCGATTTCTAGTTCCGATTAATCGGTTTTCAAGATGGGAAATTTCAATATAACAATTGCCTACACAAATTTTATGTATGTACATATGTACGTTTGATATGTGCGCTCTTTTTATTCTGTTTCATATCTAGTATTTAGTTGCTTTACGTTTACTTAATTCATGTAAGCCGTCTTCGATTCGCCACCTCTCTGCTTGCTATGTTTTTGTTCCGGTCGATTAACAAACAATTTTGCATGTGAAGGCAACAACAAATTTACCTAGCAAGGATGGACGATAGCGAGTTTGGTTGTGCCTCATTGAGTTCGTTCGTTTCGATGACGGCTATAATAACATAATAATTGAGCGTTCCAGAATGTCTACGATTTGAAGGTTTTGCAGGATTTAGTCCAAGTCGTTCCCGTGCGCCACGTTCACATAAGGTTTATTAAAAGCGAAGACAGCTGTTCCTGTAAAACCTGCAAATCCTAGAGTACGGGAACAGGCTAAACACCTTGGAATACTAATTAATTTGTATGTATTTTACATCTTTCTTTGCATGGATTTCGAAAAAAAAAACGAAAAGAGCAATCACAACAGGAGGAATAAAAGGCGATAAATAATTTGAACAGCAATTTCCAAGCCTAAAGTAAGAACAAACAGCGAGTCTACACCGATTGGTCAAGTGTCAAGAAGTAGAACTCAAATTTAATCAGATGTCATGTACCTTCATCGCTGAATAGTGTCGAGGCAGATTAAACAACAAAAAAAAAAAAAAAAAAAACGTTGAACGTTC